GCAACAGTTGAGGCTGTGTGCCACACTGGGATTAGAGTTTAATCCTTAGGTTTACAAGAGTTTTGTAAATGCTGTTTTGGCTCAGTGATATTAGTGGAATTTTGGGAAAATCCTACTGAGTAGTAGGTCGTGGTTTTTTCACCTTTTGAGCTAGGTGTTTTCCACGTAAAAATCTCTGTGTTCTTTATTTTATGTACTCTTAATTCCGCAAACAGTAGTAGTAAGTACACCTAGAAGAACCAGGTTCTTCTAGAGCGAAAATTGGGTACCACACAAATCACCCCCCCTCTTGTGTGGTATTGACGTTTAGAACGTCACCGGTGCAATGTGTGTCGAAGAAGGGTGGTATGACCTTAATGCTCAAAATGAACTAATTCCAACCTGGACAGTCACCGGATGGAGGGTGTGCATGGACTACCGCAAGCTGAACAAAGTGACCCGCAAGGATCACTTTTCATTGCCTTTCCAGATGCTTGATCGGCTTGCTGGGCGTGCCTTCTTCTGTTTCTTGGATGGATATTCTGGGTACAACCAAATCTTGATTGCTCCGGAAGATCAGGAGAAGACCACTTTTACTTGTCCATATGACAACTTTTCCTTTTCTAGGATGCCTTTTGGGTTGTGTAATGCACCGTCGACATTCCAACGGTGTATGATGGCCATTTTCACCGATATGGTGGAAGATATTTTGGAGGTGTTCATGGACGACTTTAGTGTCGTGGGGGACTCATTTGATGAATACTTGAAGAATCTGGATAGGGTGTTGGCCCGTTGTGAAGACACCAATCTTGTGCTTAATTGGGAAAAATGCCACTTCATGGCTGAGGAGGGCATAATGCTCGGTCATAAAATTTCAAAGCATGGCATAGAGGTGGACAAAGCTAAAATAGAGGCGATTTCAAGGCTTACTCCCCCCACTTCTGTCAAGGGGGTTAGAAGTTTTCTTGGGCATGCGGGGTTCTACCGGAGATTAATCAAGGATTTTTCAAAGGTAGTGAATCCTTTGTGCAAACTATTAGAAAAGGATGCCAAGTTCGTGATTTCTCAAGCATAAGTTGACCACCACCCCTATTATTTCCGCACCCAACTGGAGCTTGCCTTTCGAGCTCATGTGCGACGCGACTGATGTTGTTGTTGGGGAAGTTTTGGGTCAAAGAGTGAGCAAAATGTTTCATCGGGTGTACTACGCGAGCAAGACAATGAATGAGGCTCAAAGGAACTACACGGTAACTGAGAAAGAGTTGTTGGCTATTGTGTTCGCAATGGAAATATTTCGACCGTATCTCATGGGAGCCAAGGTTATAGTGCACACCGATCATGCAACTCTTAGGTATTTGATGACGAAAAAAGATTCCAAAGCTAGGCTGATGCAATGGGTCTTGTTACTTCAAGAGTTTGATTTGGAAATTGTGGACTGGAAAGGTAGTGAAAACCAAGTGGCGGACCACTTGTCGGAGGAAAGGAGGCCGTGTGATGGCCTAGAGATCAATGATACATTTCCCGATGAGCAACTACTTTCTGTGTCAATGAATGATATGCCATGGTTTGAGAATGTTGCTAATTTCCTTGTGACTGGTATAATCCCGTGTGAGCTCTCTTCTAACCAAAGGAAGAAGCTCAAACGGGATAGTTTGGATTCCTATTGGGATGAGCCGTACTTGTTCAAGATTTGCACCGATGGAGTGATCCGGAGGTGTGTCCCTGAGGAGGAGCAGTTTTATCTTAGAGGCTTGTCATTCCTCTCCCTATGGTGGCCATCATGGCGGGGCGAGGACAGCTTTGAAGGTTCTTAGTTGTGGGTTTTACTGGCCAACTTTGTATAAAGATGCAAGCAATCTTGTGAAGAGGTGTGACGAATGTCAAAGAGCGGGTGGTATTTTGAAGAAAGATGAGATGCCTCTCAACACCATTCTAAAAGTGGATATTTTTTATGTGTGGGGTATTGATTTCATGGGCCTATTTGTAAGCTCATGTGGGAACACCTACATTCTAGTGGCGGTTGACTATGTTTCAAAGTGGGTCGAGGCTGTGGCTTTGCCCAACAATGAAGCCCGGAGTATGGTTGCGTTTCTCAAAAAGAGCATTTTTACAAGGTTTGGCTCCTCGTGCAATCATAAGTGATGGGGGGGGGGGGTTGTATTTTTGCCATAGAGCTTTTGACACTTTGCTTGCAAAGTATGGTGTCAATCACAAAGTTTCTACTCCTTATCATCCTCAAGCGAGTGGCCAAGTTGAAGTCTCAAACAGGGAAATCAAGAGTATACTGTCTAAAACGGTCAATGCAAATAGGACCGATTGGTCTAAGAAAATGGATGATGCTCTATGGGCGTATAGGACTGCTTACAAGACTCGATTGGTATGTCTCCGTACCGGTTGGTGTTTGGGAAAGCTTGCCATCTACCGATTGAGTTAGAGCACAAGGCCATGTGAGCTTTGAGGAAACTGAATCTTGAATGGGATGTGGCAGTAAATCTTCATGTGGAGCAGCTTAATGAACTTGATGAATTCCGATTCCATGCCTACTCCAGTTCATCCTTGTACAAGGACAAGATGAAGTACCTTCATGACAAGTATGCTCGTATCAGGAGTTCAAAGTGGGTGATTTGGTTCTCTTGTTCAATTCTTTATTACGTCTGTTTCCGGGAAAGCTTAAGTCCAAATGGAGTGGACCTTTTGAAGTGGTGCCTGTGACTCCGTTTGGTGCACTTGACTTGAAAAACAAAAATGGTGAGATCTTCAGAGTTAATGGGCACAGAGTCAAGCACTATCTTGGAAAGATTGATGACAGCCACGTGGTGGTAATGATCCATCTCAAGTGATTTGATGGTAACCTGCATCGTGCCGCGGCGTTAAATCAGGCGCTTCTTGGGAGGCAACCCATGTGTCTTTATATTTTCTTTTCTTTTTAATTTTATTTTTAGAGTAGGATTTGTTTTTTTGGACTAAATGGTTGTGAGATGTTGTAGGCTTGTTTTAATGCAGTGCAGGACCAAGTTGGGAAAATATGCAACTCTCTGAAGTTTGCATTGCGGCCGCATTGCATTTTGTGCGGCCGCAAAGGCCTTAGTGCGGGGGCACAAAATCAGTGCGGTCCGCAATGATGAGTGATGCTAAAAATGGTTCTCTAAGTTTGCCACCGCGGCCACATTGCATTTTGTGCGGTCCGCGGTGGACCACTGCGGCCGCGGAGCATTTTGTGCGGTCCGCAGTGGTTGCCTTCTCAAGCTTCTTGTTTCTGAGTACCGTGGACCACGGTGCCATTTTGTGCAGTCCGCGGTGGGTAGGGCCCCAGGTCCTTTTTCTATAAATAAGACCTGTGGCCCTCTAATTACACGAACTCAACTGCTAAGACTCGATTAATCAACATTGCATCTCTCTTCTGGTAATTTTAATTCCTTCTTAGTTGTTCAATTTTGCTATTTTCTTTTTACTCTTATTTTTCTTAGTATTTCTTCTTTTTCTTCCTGTTTTCTTTCAATTCTGTAGTCTAGGTTAGTTTACTCATGGTTAAATTAGGGCTAATTAGTTAAAAACACTGATTCAACACCTAGGGGAGCATTAATAGGTGAAAAATTGGACAACAATTGTGCAAACTTGAAACCCTAGTTTTGCGGCCGCACTTCTTTTTGTGCGAACCTCACTGGTGAGCTTCTGAAAGCTGGTCATTGAGGACCGCGGCCGCAATGGATTTTGTGCGGTCCGCGGTGCCTCACCGCGGCCGCACTGCATTTTGTGCGATCCGCGGTGTATAGATTCAGAGAGTGGGTAGTCTGATCCCCACCTCAGTGCCGACCGCGAGGCATTTTGTGCGGTCCGCGGTAGCTGCTTTGCGGCCACACTTCATTTTGTGTGGTCCGCGCTCTTCAACTCCTGTATGTCTGCAAATTTTCTGCAATGCTTCACTGACTCTGCTGATACTAACAAGCATAGAATGTATTCTCTTTGCAGATAATGGTGAAAACACGGGGCGGAGGCGATAAACAGAAAGGGATGAGTCCTCCCAGGGAAGGGGACGTGGAAAGATAAGGTTGATCCCCCAAGTTCGGGAAGCAATAAAGGCGACAAGAAAGGCAATCCGGGCCGCTGATAGAGCTGCTTCCCATTCATCGGGAAGTGAGTATGAGCCCTCCCGGGAGGCATCCGATTCTGACTCTGTCTCAGAGTATATGGATGACTTCCCGGAGAGGTTTGAGACTGACAGATGACCCTACTCCTCAGGGATCCCCTACTGCCCGAGCATCAGTGCACATATCTTCTGAGTCGTCTGAGGGCTCAGCTGCAGGCAGTAACAAAGCCTACTCTACCTCACCTACAACTTCACTATTCGGTGAGGGTCAAGTAGAAGAAGAAGGAGAAGAAGGAGGGGGTGAGCCCAAAGTAGGAGGAGTAGAGAGAACAAGGAACCCGGAAGCATGGCAAGACAGATTCGTAAGTGAAGCGGCCTACCATAAGTTCAGATAATGGTGGCCTGAGAAGAAGTTGATTCTTGAACGGAGTTTCATAGATAGAGACCTCTTGCCTCATAACCCCAATGTGAGAAGACAGTTTAGAGAGAGAGTGGGTTGGGACTACTTCACAAGCAATTGTGAGGATGCAAATAAGCACCTGGTCAAGGAGTTCTACACCCATGTTGCCCACATCAAAAAGGGCACTACAGTGACCAAGGTGCGGAATTTGAAAGTAAGGTTTGATAGAAAAACGATAAATGACTACCTGGGCTTCATGGAGGAGGATGAAGAATGCACTTAGAAAATGTAGCATTGGGGGAGAGTGTACGTCCATGGTTAGCTGAGTACTTGGCAATCCCAGGTACCACCCCAGCATGGTTGACAGCGGGAGTGAAAATTCTAAGGAGGACGCTGAACTTCGAAGCAAGAGGGTGGGTGACATTTGTTTATAGCAGGCTAGACCCCACCTCTCACGAAAACTCTCTCCCTATCTCCTGGGCTATATTGGTGTCATCGATCATGGCGGGGTACCCGATCAACATCGGGAATGTGATGTCCAGGGTGATTACACGGGTGGTGAACGAAGGTGATAGAAACTACCCTTTTCCAAATTTCCTGACCATGTATTTGAATGATCTAGATGTGGAGAAGCGCAGATTTGATGTGAAAGTGAAGGCCAAGGCACCTTTCTCCTGGTACAACACCAAGGGTCCTGACAACCCCAAAGACCCTAAGGGCAAAGCCCCTACTTCTGCTGGCCAGTCTGAAGAGCCAGTAGTTGTAGTGACTCCTTCTCAGCCTCCTTCAGCTACACCAGACACGACCCGAGGACCCTCCACTTCTACTGTCCCAGATATCCCTTCATCTTCAGCCTACCCGTTGATTGCCCACCACTTGAACCAGACCCTTGCTAGTATCAACAACTTGATGCAGGCAGCGACTTCTAAGCTGTCTGTTCTGTCTACCTCTGTAGAAGCCCAGTCGGTACCACCTCAGCCACAGCTCCCGCAGTCAGTGGAGGACACTCTCAAGGAGCTTCTGGACAACCAGAAGTTAATATTGGAGGCTGTGGATTCTCATGGAAAAGCACTGAAGGAGCTCACCAAAGAAACAAAGAAATTGAGGAAGACTCGGGCATCCAAGGAGTCGGTGAAAGAGTTGAGGGCGGATGTGGAGAAGATGAAGGTGGATCACTCGACTTTTGACCTTCTATTGCATGACCCAGGTCCAGCAGCCCAGCCTGAGCCAGAGCGGGAGACAAAGAGGCCAGCAAAGAGGAGGAGGGTGATTCCTCGTGCTGATGATGCTGTTATAGAGTTGGAGGACCCGCAGGGAGGTTCCTCTAGCCAACCTCAGATTCCAGTACAGGCCCAGGACTTAATACATGCCCAGGTCCCAGTGGAGACACAGAACTCAGGGAGCCAGCCGCAGGTTCCCGAGCAGACCGAGGACCCAGGGACCCAGCCACAGGATCCCATGCAGGCGGAGGGCCAATAGGGAGTTTTCTCTTTACTCTTTATCTTTACTTGTGCTTATTTTGGTTAGTTAGCATTGAGGACAATGCTAGCTTTCATTTGAGGGGGTAGCCCTATTTGGATGACTGTATATATGTGACACTTGACACTACTTTCTTTTTATGCTTTTATTTTCACTTTTGGTATGTACATATTCATTTTAGTTCATTTTCTGTACTTTGGCAACTTTGGTTTGTATACAAAGTTACTTTCTAATGTATATATTCATCCTCCCTTATGTATATTCGACTAAATCCCCTCTTGTATATATTCATTTTACTTTCCGCATTTTCTTTCTTCTTTACTAGCTTCTTATTTTATTTTGATAGCTTCTTATTTTTAGTTTTTATGAGAAATAAGCCTTTGGTTTTCTTAATTCCACGGTTCTTTCCAAAAGTGGAATTTATGTGAACCGGGTGGCTCTTCCCGACGATGGATGGCATGACAACCTTCTTAAGGGTTTGAGTCTGATTTCTTTTTCTTTTTGTGTAAATAATAGCTAGTGAGTAGTGGTTCCTCAAGAAAAGCTTCACTTGGGCCTAGCACATTTGCCTTTGATCCCATGGTCAAAAACAAATTGTTGTGTATAGGATGGTGAAAGTTGTGACCTTGAGACTCTTGTGTTGGCCGACAATCATCAAGTGGTTTTTCGGGACCATTGTGTTGCTCAAATCTTAGCTAAGGTCGTTGTGAGCCCCCAACTTTGTATCTTTAGCAATCCCATAGCTTGTGTGGTGAGAATTTGAATTGCAGGTCCAAGTCCCGTGCCAATAGTCTAGAACTTACCCTGAATGTTTGTCTAGGCGAAATTCTAAGTGTAGTTTGACTTGAGAAGTGATTATAGGCTCTCCTTGATCCAAATGATATCTTGAAAACATCCATAGCCTTCCAATGATAATGTCCCTAGTCAACCCTTTTGAGCCATAGCCCTTTTCCTTCAACAACCATGATACAAGCCTTTACCCGTTTTGAAATGACCCTCTCTTGGCACCCAATCTTTCCTTAGCACATGGCAAAAGCATAAGTTTGGGGGGAGAGACGAGAAATGCAACAAAGTGGTAAAAAGTTACAAAATGAAGAAAAGGAAAGGCAATGAAAAAGAAAGAAAACCAAAAAGTCAAAAAGAATGAGCAATATAGAAAAAATATATGAAGGGATTGAATAAAAGTAAAGTGATGGAAGGCGTGGAAAGCCTAAAAAGGAGAAAAAGGTTTGAAATGAACAAGAAAGAGTGACTGTGTGTCTCTCTAACCCCGAAGAAAGAAGTAAATGACTGAAAAGAAAGTCAAGAGAATGTGCCAAAATAAAGTAAATGAAGTGCTTAAGGGAAGACGGAACCTACTTAGACCAAATGAAGCTTACATTAGTGGTGACTCACATAAGGGCAAGCTTATGGTACTTAGAGCCGGACTTGTAACCTTCCTTTGAGAGAGAGTGTTTCCACTATCCTTGTTCTGAGTGTTAGAATCTAAAAGTGAGGATGTGCTTAGGGAGAGTTGAGGATGTATGAGTTTGGGTTCCACGATGACCAAAGTAGTAGAAAGAGTTTCTTTGATGTGTTGAGTCAACTCTTGATGCTCTTGTGTCACACTAAGACAATGGTGCTTAAAAGGTTGAATGCTGTTAAAGATTCGTTTGAATTAAGGGCAATTGTTAGTCCCAATTGAGGCAAGATGAGGTCACTTTAGGTCGGCTGAATTTTCTTGGATTTACTCTTAAGGGGTGGGTCTTATTTTGTTTGCTTGAGGACAAGCAAAAGCTTTAGTTTGGGGGGAGTTGATAACTAGGGATTCTAGTTCATTTTACACTCCTTTTCACTTGAGTTTTGAGTAAAAAAGTATATAAAATAGTCCCAAAGGCTTTACATGTCGTACTTGTTTGCAGGGTTTGATAAAAAAGGTGACAACTAGTCAAAATCATCTCAAAAGGAGTGAAACATGCACAAGTACAAGGACAAGTCTAAGCACAGTTGAAACAAGACGCACTGCGGACCGCACAAAATGGGGTGCGGCCGTAGTGAGGAGATTCAGAGAGTGCTGATTCCAGAGACCCAAGCAGTGCGGCTGCAAAGCATTACGTGCGGGCTGCACTGGACTCATCGCAGCCTCACTCGATATTGTGCGGACCGCAAAGAATGAGTTCAGAGAGTTGAAGATTTGGAGCTAATTGCCAATGCGGTTCGCCATCCTTTTTGTGCGGACCGCAACAGAAGCCACCGCGACCGCGGTGGCCAAGTTCAGAGGGCAGAGTTTAAAGCCAAGAAGCCTCATTGCGGCCGCACTCGATTTTGTGCAGACCGCACTACCCCCGCAGGGATATTTTTGTCCAAAAATTTTGGCCTAGTATAAATACTTTCTTTTCACATTTTTAGGTCATCTTTTGTAATCTGAGTTTGGGCCGAGCACGTGAACGAGTCTTTTGCTCCTTTTTGAGTAATTTTGGGCTACTAATACACTGCATCTCTATTATCTTAGTTTGTAATTAATTATTATGGTTATTTCTTCATCCAATTTCTTGTTTTCTTCCCTAATTATGAGTAGCTAGACCCATTACCTAGGGTTGTGCTCAACCCTAGTGTGGGTATTTGATGGGTCTTGAGTTTTAAGGCTTGAATGTGTATGGGTGTTTGATATTTGGACCAATTTATATTTTCCATGTTCAATTAGTGGTTGCAAACACTAATTTGTGCCTTTGTGACTTGAGTTCTTCTTGAGAAAGAGAACTTGAGTCTAGGAAAATTGGTCCAACAAGGAATTGGGGCGTATTCAAGATATTGATAGCTCCAATTAAAGGGTTAAACCTAGAGATAGTAATACCCGACTTGAACCTCAATTTCTTGCTCAATTGTAATACACAATTGGTCTTGAGAAAGTCAATTTGGGCAAAATCACTCAAACTACCGAGAGGCATAGAGTGAGAACTTTCGTGCATCGGTTATATTGTAATCCCCATCATAACATTCTTGCCTTAGATTTGAGAATCCGTCGAATATCCACCTAGGAGCGGGTCACTTCCTTAGTGCCTCTTTAACCTATTAGAAAACCCTTTAGCAATTAATCTAAGCTTAATTTAGCATCTTATTAGCATAATATTAGAAGTAATAAAAAAAAAAGACCAACTATGATTGGAAGTGCAATTAAGAGTAGTGCACATTGCTAGTTTGGATAGGAAACCAACTCCAACTTTTAGCTCCCTGTGGATTTGATCGCGACCTATTCGGGTAAAAGCTGCATCGACCCGCTCTCGCCACTCTATAGTGGTGCAGGGTTGGCACTGATTAGAATCCCTCTTCAAATCCTCTCAAAAAGCTCCAAGCCCGCCTCAAAAATGGAGGAAATATGCTGAAAATCGCGAAGGGAATCTTATATAGTCTCTGCCCAGGGATTTTTGTACATGCGGCTCCCAAACTCGCACCTGCGGACCGCTTATGCGGTCAAAACAACCGCACCAGCAGTTTCTCATTAAAGCTCCAATGTCCGCATCTGCGCCCAGGCACCGCATCTGCGGTCCCGCAGATGCGCTCAACGAAGCGCACCTGCGGTTTTTTCCTATGATGACCAACCTCCACATATGCGGTCTACTTTTCACACCTGCAACCTCTCACCTGCGGTCCCCAAATCCGCAGGTGCGGAAATGACAGAAGCAGAAAATCTGCAACACAACTCAAAAATCCAAACACTCCTCCAAGCATCCAAAATCATCCCGAGGCCCTCGGGACCTCAACCAAACATACCGACAAGTCACATAATATCATTCAAACTTGCTCCAACCTTCGGAACTCTCAAAACAACATCAAAACATCAAATCACCCTCGGATTCAAGCCTAAGGATTCCAAAAACTTTCGAATTCTGAATTCGATCAAAAAGTCTATCAAACCTCGTCCGAATGACCTGAAATTTCGCACACACGTCCCAAATGACACCACGGTCCTACTCCAACTTTCGGAATTCCATTCCGACCCCACCACCGATATCAAATTTTTCACTACCAACCAGAAAGCGCCAAAATTCCAATTTCGCCAATTCAAGCCTAAATCTACCACGGACCTCCAAATTATATTCCGAACATGCTCCTAAGTCCAAAATCACCTCGCGAAGCTATCCAAATCATAAAACCCAAATTCCGAGATCGTTTTACTCACAAGTCAACTTCCGGTTGACTTTTTCCAACTAAATGGCCAACTTAAGAGACTAAGTATCTCATTCCTCTACAAAACCACTCCGAACTCGAACCAACCAACCTGATACCACATAATACTGCTGAACAAGACATAAAGAAGCAAAAATGGGAAAACAGGGCTGAAATTCATAAAACGACCGGCCGGGTCGTTACAATTCAAGTCTGGGAGGGGCTCAAGGCAGGGAGACCATCTTTCTCATTCCCTTTTCATCCTTAGTGTTGAAATTCTTTCTAGAATGCTGAATGATATCCAAGATGACAGGCAGCACAAGAACTTCTATATGAGCAGACAAGGCCCCACCATTAACCAACATGTTTTTGCTGATGATATAATTATCTTTAGTAGTGGGAACAAAGCTTCTTTACAACTTATCCTCAATACTCTTGCCACCTGTGAAAGAATCTCAGGTCAACTGATCAATAAATGTTAGAGTAGCTACACCATGGCTCCCAATGCTAATCAAAGCTCTATCATAAGAGGTGGGAGAATATTAGGAATGGGATTTGAAAAATTGCCAATGAAGTACCTTGGCTGCCCCAGGGATGAAGAAAATCTGTTTCTTCTCTGCTGTGGTGAGTAAGGTGATTAACAAAGTCAAAGGGTGGAATCTTAAATTCCTATCAGTTGGAGGAAGGGCCGTGCTTATTAGGCATGTCCTCGGAGCCCTTAACATCCATACTCTAGCAGTTGTGCACCCTTTTAAAGGGACTATTGATCAGATTGAAAAGTATATTTCTAGATTCTTCTGGGCGGAAAACGACATAGGTGATAAACATCATTGGGTTTCTTGGAAAAACTTATG